GGTCCCAGCTTCCCTAAAGTAGTGGGCCCCAAGTGGTACAAAGAAGAAGGCTCCTGGCCAGTTCTGGTGCTCAGCTTTAAAAATAGCAAGAACCACAGGGAAAGGGAACACCGGGGAACGCTAATGATAAGATGAAAATGTATGCGGCTCGAAGCTGCTCCTATTTTAATTGAAGCCTTAATGTCTGTGGCAGGGAAATCCTTTAGGGGGAAGAATGACTAAGTATCAACCTTATAAACCGCATGTTAGCAAGGCTTGGGTTAGAGAGCTCTGTGCAAAATCACACAGCCCCTAACGTAGCCGCAGACAGCAACACCATGGCTCCATTTCCTACTTGTCTAGGCCATGATTCTACCCATTCCCTAACTGTGTATTCAGGAACCACTCATGGGCCTTGTCACATGAGGAAAACAGGGGCGTGGCATCTTATCCAAGCGAGCCCCTGCCTGTTGTCCCCTTAAAGTCTTTACTCCCTGCATGAATGTCTTTCCCCAAAGACGTAGGCTTCAAAAACTATTCCCTGGTTCTCCATCCATACATCTGTTGTTTACTTTAAAGTTTAATTCCCTGAAAACACATCGGATGCCTTGAGCTTATCATTACCAAGATGTCATCATCCACGGGATAAAAATACTGGAGAATTTCTATACATAAAAAACGGCTTTGAAAGTGAGAAGTTAGTGCAGTTACCCCTCCCAACCTGCTGATAAAAAAAGCCAAGTTTTTTATTTTTTTAATTCCTCTTCCTGAAAACAGTCAGTAATTACATTCTATTCGTTGTTTTTAAACCAGGCTATCTTGGCTAGACTTTTTTTTAAAGGAAGGTTTTTATTTTTATTTTCTGCTTTTTCTTTTTTTCAGTGGCCGTTTTGCTTATTTCACATACGTATCCGTCACAGTTTGGTCTGTTGGTTATTTGCCATTTAATCAATAATTCACATTAAATTTCTAAAATTTCCAAATTATTACCTAAGCTCTTTCATAATACAGATTGATATAAAAAGTATGGAGACCTTGAACTTCTGCCATTACAAGGGCATCTCTTTAAATATTGTCCATACTAAATTACACTGTGTCATCATGGTACATGAAAGGTTAATTCACAAAGTCCAATTGGAGTTAACAACATCTCCCGGCTGTGTCTGGCTTTGTATACTTTATATGTGTTTGAAATATGGTTGCGTAGAAAGACCCCAAATGAGGAGGTCTGGATTCAGGTCCATTCTCATAATCTACTTGGCTATGTGATCTTGAACTTGCTTTGTGCCTCTACAGTATCCTTCTAATGAGCTTTAAATAAAATAAAACAGAGGTATTTAGGAAAGTCCCCAAATATTCAACAAATGCAAAGCATTTATCTTATTATTAACACCCCATCAGTTTTAACTCTAAGCTCAGATACGATGCTGATAAACTGAGATCTCTGTATTCAGTCTCATTTTTTACTTTATCCCAAAGAAGTTAATTCTTTCTATGTGCCACTTTTCTGACAAGAGACATCAGCGTTCTCATCTGGGAATTATTCCCTTTTTATTCTCCCCTCCTGATGCCCGCATTGCTGTCGACAATATGTATTCAGGCAAGGCAGGGGCTCGCGGCGTTTCACAATCAGATGCCATGCACACTACTTCCGTCAAAACAATTAGTGTTCATTTCGGCTTTACTCGGCGAGACCTGCGGTGACTGATCAGTATAAATTATAGATGCATCTGTCCAAATGCGGTTGTTCATCCATGCATAGATTTGAGGAAATTTTATTCTTCTCAGTTCAGAAACAGTCACTAAAAAAGTCCCCACTTAAAAAATAGAATTTAGCATATTTTCAACTCTGTTATTCCGGCCATTGGATGCAGTCACTCCATCTGGGATTTGAGGCATTCAAAGTTGATCTGGGGCCTTCCCAGGTTGGAAGTTGTCCCCCTATAAAATCTGCTGTCTTTCTTTATAAATCATTAGAAAATCGTAGACATTTTTAACCCCAAATAATGCAATATGATTTGTCCCCCCCCTTTTTTTTTGTATGTTTGCTTGCTTCTGGTGATATTGCATTCAAATGCATTGCCAAATGCACATCCTCTACTCTGCCTGATCAGGAAATTTTAATGTATTTTAAATAAAACAATATGAGCTTCGAGTAAAATACATGGACTAGCACTGTCTCTAGTCCAAATAGGCCTTTGACTGTTTACTTTGTTTCTTATTTCTTTTAATGAGCAGCTAGAGGAACCATCAGGCATAATGCACAATACCAAATAGTCGATCTCATTCGTGTAAAATACTTCAAGTGGAATAAACTCCCTTAACTCTAACTGAGAGGGCCTGTATGTGATGGATTTATTTACTTGCTCCAATAAAATTCTACGTGTACACATATCCAACTGGGGATTTTTCTCTGAACCTAAATTAATCAACACTGAACAAAGCAATGAAAAGCGCCTGGTGGCGAAGCCCAGAGCACCGGGCTGCCGGAGCAGGAACCTCTGAACCGTCAGGGGGACGGAAACAAATTCCACCGCAGCTTCCCTGAATCAGACTTTGCACGAAACAGACTTCTCACCTGAGGTTTCTGCCAGACAGAGGTGGATACAGGTTTAACTCACTAGCTTTGTCTTGTTATGAGCGTCCCCCAAATAATGAGAAGAAGAGGCACATTGCATAAGAACCATTTTTAGAACCCCACTAAATGTTCAAGGCAGTAATGATCAAATGTCAGTGATGGGGGAAGGTTTGCTGTGGGCACAGCTTCCCTTCGGGAAGGAAATATTAAATCAAGGTCACCGAAGGCTAGCAAGTGCGGACAGATGCAACGGAGCCTTCGTCCCTGGGAAACATTCTCAGAGACGCCACCAACACAGCAACTTTGCGGACAATGCAAGAGGTGCCTTACCATCAAACACGCTCTTTCCTCTTCCACAGAAGAAAAATGCCGAGGTATCCTCATAATCCTACCTCCCAGTTCTATTCACCACTGCCCTTTACATACTTTTCTTTTTCTTTTTCAAAATCCTGTTGCTTTTCTCTAATCCTAAACAGCACAGACAAGAAGTAGGCCCGAAGGCCCCTGCCCACAGCACTGATACCACTCAGGTCTCATAGATCAGCTAGAAATCAATAATTCCTATATGGTCATTTCTCCTTTGCAACCATATCACCAAGGGACAGGGTTAATGCCTTTTTTCCACCACCGGCCCCATTTTTCTGTCATAAAATTTTTTCTTTCTTTTTTTTCCTTAGGAATAAATGGGCAATCAAAGTTGCTGAGTCAGTATTTCGACTATCTAATTTTATTACTTTACAATTGACATACCTTCCCTCTGGAAATGTTTGCAATTAATTAATTAGCAGTAATCTTCCCCACGGGACAAATTTAATGAATACTCTCCGATTCTTACTTTAAAAAAAAAAAATAGCTGAGATGTGTCCAAGCTGCAAATGTGTGGATGGCTCCAAAGTGCATTTAAAAAAAAAAAAAAATGGAGGGATCTATCTATTACACTGAATTTTTATCACTAAGTCAATCTGGCAATGACTGTAATTCTTTTTCTAACTAGGAGTTTCCCGGGTTGAACGCAAGGTTTCTCCAAGGTAACAGCACTCTGCAGTGCAGCTGTGTTCGTCAGTGTTTAGGATGGCGATTTTCCTGCTCTTAATGCTCTCATAGACAGAGGAGTCTGCGGTTTGTGGTTTCTTTAAGCTACCAGCATGTTCTGCAGAATGTGTAAAGAAAAAAAAAAAGGAAAGAAGGAAGGAAGGAGGGAGGGAGGGAGAGAAGGAAGGAAGGAAGGAAGGAAGGAAGGAAGGAAGGAAGAGGCCAGAGTTGTCATTCTAAAGAAGTCTCTGGCCCTGGGCCTACCAGTCCCCTTTGTAAGGTGCCAGAGGCAAACTTGGTGGTGAGGGATTCAAAACCTTGACCCTGACTCTGGGCTTCCTTCTGGCCTTGCAAGAAGCCATAGCTCTTTCTTTCCTCTGGGCCGCAAGTTCTAGCGTTTAGACTAGAAAATAAAACCAGGCCCTTGAGCCAACCCCATAGCTCTTTGGGGGAGTTCCAACTAATTAATTAACCTTCTAAAACTTGCAAGTGAAAGGACGATGCTTTCTGAAGTTTCTGGCCTGCAAGCCCCACGGGATCCCTGCAGCACCGGAGGAAGACCTGCCCAGGAGCAGACTCCCGTAGTCCCTTTTCGCCCTAGAAGTCAGGGTTGGAGGCCTTCAAAAGAGCGGCTGGGCCGGGGGATTGAGCCTTCAGGTGTACAAAGACTGCAGTGCGCACACACCAACCAACTGGAGGTCCCCTGTGCGGGGACCAGGCCTAGAGGATGTAGGGCCCTCCTGGGCAGCAACGAGCTTCCCTGGCCATCAGTGTACCTTTGAGGCCCCCTAGGATGTGGTGCCAGGGTGGTCAGACAGTTGGGCCCAGCCGGGTGTCTGGGTGGAGCAGCAGAGAATGGGCCGCCCTCCCAGAACGCTCCACGGTGGCTCTCCAGCGCCACCCCCAGAGGAGAGCAGCGGCTGCAGCCAGGCCTAGGTGCCTTCCTCAGGCTCCCTGGCTCCCCCGCGGACACAGCCGGCAGCGTGCGCAAGGCAGCCAAGCCCTCGCCTTCGGCGGAGATGCCCACAGATCCTAGCCCGCAGTCTGCACATGCTAGGGGTCAGACTTGGCGCGTTTCCAGACCTCATTAGCCGGATCCTGAACCTCAGCCTCAAGGGGGCGCTATTCTGCCTATTCGAGGGCCAGGAGGCTGCAGAGCAACCCCAGGGTCAAGGCCCTGGGAGGACTTGGAGCCAGAATCTAGGCAGAGTCCTGGGGAGACTGAGAAGGGGACCTAGATTCCCTACTCATCGAAGATGAGCAGGCCAGTGGGATCCACGGACGCCGCATGGTGCCGCTCCAGTGAGCACCGGGCCTGTGGCGCTAGCAAACTTTTCTGCAGCCGAAGGGCGGAGGAGCGGTGCTGGAGGCTTGTCCCCCGAGCCTCCCCTCTCCTCCACCTGCCAGTGCTCAGCCTCCTCCCAGCCTTTGCCCACCCCAGTTCCCTCCCCCTTCCCCTCGCGCCTCCGTTCACCTAGACTCTCCATTCCCCCCTCCTTCTCCCCCACTTTTCTCCAGTCTCTTCTTTTGTATTCTCTCCTCCCTTGCCGCCCCGGTTGCTTCTCGTCTCCTTGGGGCCGCAGGGGAGGAAGTGAGTGCGCTGCGCCAGGGGCCTGCACAGCGCAAAGGGAGGCGTTTTTCCTACTTCTCCCGGGTAATTTGGAGAGAATGTATGTGTGCGCGCGCGCGTGAGCTTGAGGCGAAAAGGGGTAGGATCCAGCGCCGAGCAGAGAGGGTCAGGGTCTTTGACGTTCCTCACCAGCTGCATAAACCTCCGGAGCAAGTGCGAGTGTGGGTGAGAGTGCGCGCGCGCATGGGCTGGCTGCGCTTGGCACGCTTGGTGGCCCGGGGCCCCGGCGCCCGGAGTCCCGTCTGGCGGCCAGGGATTACCGTGACGTCACGTTGAGCCTCTGGCCACCTTGGACTGGGACACCTCTCGGGAGCCTCACAGCCCCGCTCAGCGCCACGCCACACCTCGCCACCGCGCGCCTTTGGGAACCCGCACCTTCTCTCTCCTGCCCATCCATGGGCCCTTCTATCTTCCGGATCCCACGGGCCGGAGGAGCGCCTTCCGGAGCTCAGGGCTCGGCAGCTGTGCTGCCCTCGGCTCTGCTTCCAGTCGCGCCAAACCGGTGGAGGAATTGGCGCTGGGCACCCGCAGCCGCGTAAGGAACCGAAGAGCTGCACGGTTGAGGGCGCCGAACAGCGGGGCTGAGACAGGAACTGGAAAGGGAAGAGGGAGGCGGGCCAGGGACAGCCACCATGTCCTTCCCACACTTTGGACACCCATACGGCGGCACTTCCCAGGTAAGAGGCGCATCCGTGGGTTAAGGGCAGATGGGGTAGGGGTGATGTCCAGTGCATCTACCTGCCAGTAAGCTTCCTCCTCTCCTGTCTCCAGGGAACCCAGACAGAATTAAGGAGCAGGGTAATGTACCACCGCCTCTTCTGACATCCCCAATCCCTGAATGAAAACCTTTCACTCCCGCGTGCATGCTGCAAGATCGTGTGACCCTAAACGTGGGCACTCTGACCCCGCGCTTAGTGAGGTGGGTGGGATCTCAGGGATCTTCCAGGCAGGCCTCCACCTGTACAGAGGGCCTGGAGAGTCTCAGGGAAAAACTTCCAGGCCAAAGCGATGTCCGTCTCACCTTATTGTTGGTCATTTGTTGACCTTTGTTCTTTATTCTAACCCTTCCTCGTGTGATTCCAACCTCTATGGTTCCAAACCAGGGTGCGTGTTGTGCAAGGACACAAAATATCCTGGGAAAGTTCTGGAGACATCACTCTTCTCCAGTTTCTGCATAGAGTGCCAGGTGCATTTTCCTGGGGTCTAGTGCCACCTCGACCTTTGACCTGCTGTGTGTTCTTGAACAAGTCTCCTACACTCTCTGGTTCTCTATTCCCTTTTTATAAAATGGTGATAGGAATGAGACATAGATCATGGCCTTTGAGGCTAACTTTTAGCTGCACCTTTGTAGGATCCTGTGAAGAGAGTGGGGGATTTGACGTTTAATTTGGGCTTCAGAAGGTTCACATTTCCTGGGTGCCCTGGGACTCTAGAGCCTTAGCAATGGCCTAGGCATCTACAAGAAGAATTTGGGTAAATTACTATCCCACCGCCTAAGAGAATGCTTAGCCGCTGGTGGCGTTTAAAATAAAAGAATAAATGAAGGAGCAATTCCACAGCTCGTTCCCTCCTCGCCTCTAGCTCCTACTGGCAAAAGGCGAGGGCCTCTGACCTCCAGTGCCCACTTTCTCGCCCCTTAGTTTTTGGTGTCTGCAAGTTCCAGCGCCACTTGCTGTGAATCCAGCCCGCGATCAGTCTCAGACGTGGCCTCGGGCTCCACCCAGGCGGCTGCTCTCTGCTGCGCACCCTACGATAGTCGGCTGCTGGGCAGTGCGCGGCCCGAGCTGGGCGCCGCCTTGGGCATCTATGGAGCTCCCTACGCAGCCGCTGCAACTGCCCAGAGTTACCCTGGCTACCTGCCCTACAGCCCGGAGCCGCCCGCGCTGTATGGGGCGCTGGTGAGTACCGGTTTGGGTCCCTGGGACCCTGCGTCAGAATATGCGTCCCCGGGGGACAGGGGACGCAGCCTCAGGGGAAACGCCGGGAACATCTAGGAAACACGCACAACTCTGAGGAAAGGAATGGTTAGGAATGTGTCTAAGACAATAAATACATCTTTATAGCACTAACAGTCTGCAGAATTCCATATTGTTTAGAAAACATTTGCACTTTTATTAATTCTGGGAGGTAGGCATGTCATCACTTTTTTCAATTTACAGATGAGGAAGTGGAGGTGCAAAGGGGGCACTTCGGTACTTTCCTCAAAGCCACAAAGATACACAGGATCAAGGAATAGCCCTGCAAGGAGAGTAAATTGAGGAACTGCCTCAGCTGTTGTGGGGCTGGGGGGCGGGGGGGGGGCAGTAATAGCAGCAAACATTTAAGCATTCTACAACAAGGGATCTGCAAAGCACTCCACCAGCAAGGTCCTCGTCAATAACCTCTAGGTACTATTGTTATCCCCACTTTACCAAGGGAGAAACTGAGGCACAGAGTTAAACAACTGTGCCCAAGGTCACACAGCCAATGTGAGTGGTCGTATAAGGATCTGAACCAAACTTGACCCATAATCCCCGCCCTTAGCTACTACCCTCCACCTACCTCCCCTGCGAATACCTAGTCCTGAATTCTCTTTTCCTTTTCCATCAGAATCCACAGTACGAATTTAAGGAGGCTGCGGGAAGTTTTACACCGGGCCTGGCGCAACCAGGAGCCTATTATCCTTATGAGCCCACTCTGGGGCAGTACCAATATGATCGGTAAGGAGTGGGGGCACCTTGGTGGCTGGCACTGCGTGACCCTTCTCCTCCCCTGGCAAGGTGGGGTGGATGTAGCGGGAGGAAGAGAGGGAGCATGGAACCACTTCAGGCCACAGACTGTCCCCTGTCCTGCCTGCAGCCCCTATTCCCCATCGTATCTCCCCCTCCCCCGCCACCCCAGGTATGGCGCCGTGGAGTTGAGCAGCGCGGGGCGCCGGAAGAACGCCACGCGGGAGACCACCAGCACCCTCAAGGCCTGGCTCAACGAGCACCGCAAGAACCCCTACCCCACCAAGGGCGAGAAGATCATGCTGGCCATCATCACCAAGATGACCCTCACCCAGGTGTCCACATGGTTCGCCAACGCGCGCCGGCGCCTCAAGAAGGAGAACAAGATGACGTGGGCGCCCAAGAACAAAGGTGCGGAGGACAGGAAGGCAGAGGGCGACGCGGAGGAATCGCTGGGCTGCCTGAATGGTGATTCTAAAGGTACCGAAAACATTCTCAGCCAGTCTTAGGGATTTTACCAGCCGTCAAGCCATTAGATTGGTCTTTTAAAGCCGCCCTGCGGGGGGTTGCATTTTCAGGAAGGCGCTTTCTCTACCCCTAGGCAGGCTTTCTCTGCCTACCTCCGGGCCTGGAATTCTCGAACCGCTTTTTCTCACCTTCAAAGTGTTACTCACCCTAGCCAAAGTAGCTTCTCAGTTAGTCTCCATTGTGCCAACCTGTTTTATTTATTTTACTATATACATTACTACAAGAAAGTTTACATAGGCAACATTGGTCTAACCCCCTATAAGTGGCAGCTCCACTAGAAGATGTCCTATTGTTCTGTATCCTAAGCACTTAATACTTAGCACATTGAAAAAAAGATTCCCCCCACCCCCCGGGGCCACCGTGTTTTACTGGGTTAAGCACATTAACTGTCCTGTGAGTTGTATTTAACTCACGCTAGTTGTGAGTTCGGAGCCTCGTGAAATATATATCAGTCATAAATCTCTTAACTTTATAAAACACTGTGGACCCAAAGGGGAATATAGTTTTCTAATGTGGCAGTCAATGTGCAGGAGACTTGTGAGTTATATATGCTTCATGTGGCCCCAGGCTCAAAACTAGCATAGTTATATAAACTTCATATGGCAGTTAATGTGTTAGATGTCATGCACATAGTTGGCGCTCAGTAAGTATTTATTGAGTGAAAAAAAAATTAACAGCTGCCACCTGCTGAAATTAAGTTGTGTAAAAACTGCCACCAAACCCCCCTTCACACACACACACACACACACACCCTTTCTTAGAATTAAGAAACTGAGATCCAGGACTGGGCATTGCAAAGTGGCGCTTCCTTGGCGTAGAGATTTTTGTGAGAGGAGTCAGCAAAGTGGGTGGGGGCAGGACTGGGGCGGGAATTCTTCCCCTGGGGCAGGCGGCCAGCTGGGGGCAAGCGGAAGGGGCGGTATGGCAGGTCTGGTGAATTACAGCGCGCGGATGCCCTGAGTGCAGGGCGCGCTGCTAAAAGCTTCTCAGGGATGGGCACTCCTGCGGATTTCCCTTGGGCCCTGGGCTTTTCTCACTAGCTCTTGATTTCCTGCAGACGTTACCGCTGGCCAGGAGGCCAGGGGCCTCCGGCTGAGTGACCTGGAAGACCTCGAGGAAGAGGAGGAGGAAAAGGAGGAGGAGGAGGAAGCTGATGAAGACGAGGCGGTAGCCACAGCCGCGGAAAGACTGGCAGAGTTCCATAAGAGCGCGCAGTCGCTGCCGCGGCCATGCGCCCCTGCTCAAGAGGGCCGCCTGGAGCGCAGGGACTGCGGCCTGGCTGCCTCTCGCTTCTCCTTCAGCAAGCCCCCGGGATTGGGAGAAGTTGACTTCCTCTCCTCAGAGCCTGGCGGCCCCAGGTTTACCATGCATTACCCATGCAGCGAGAAACCGCGCATCTGGTCTCTGGCACACACTGTGGCAGCCAGCGCTTTCGAAGGTCCACCCCCAAACCGGCCCAGGCCATGAAGTCCTGAGCGCCATAAGATTCCGGACAGCCTCCAGCCTCCGCAGCCTGGCGATCCGCGGTCCCCAGAGACTCCGCGTGCCGTAGGAGGAGTCTACCCAAGGGGGGAAACTCCAGGTGTGCCCTGCAGGGGCCACCGCTGAACTGTGCGCTGTGCCCGCGGAGGAGGGAGCCTGCCTTTCAGTGCCAATACCGGTCTGGAGCAGAAGGTAGTGGATCTCCAACAGCTTGGGGGTGTCTGTCCCCCAAAACACCCAGCCATTGCCCTGTGGGGTCTTGGCATCCCCTCTCAGCCTCTCCCTGGTGCTCTGGGTGCAGACCTGGAGTGACATTGTTCCACAGCACTCCTTCAAAGGGAAGCTTGGAGATAAAAGTTCTAGTGCTCCCTCATTTGAAAGCCAAATAATAGTAATAAACTCAGAGGGAGACAGTACTTTGCTAGGATCACTTAGAAAGTCATCCAAGAGATAGACAACCCAGATCTCTGCACCAGGTGTCACCTGGTGAAATGGTCACCCCACTAGGTGGGGTCACCATGCCCCTCCTAGCACAAACACCCTTATCCCCTACCTGCCTTCAGAGGAGACCAGCTGGCCCCTACTCTAATGGTTCCCAGGACTTTGTAGGGCTAGGCAGGCACTAGGGCTTTTGCACATGTCTAGGGGTTAGGGTGGGACACACACTAGGAGTTTAAGATTAGTGCTTAAGTCAGCTTGCAGCCCCCTCTGTGGCCCTCTAAAACCTCTGAGCAGTATAGACAGCCCCTGAGTTCAACAACTTCAAGCCCAGGGTCGGTGCTGTCCCTGGGAAGCACTCATCCCCAAGCAGGCTGTGACTGCCAATCAGTGTTCCCTGCCCACCATGGGAAGCACTCATCCCCAAGCAGGCTGTGACTGCCAATCAGTGTTCCCTGCCCATAGTTGGCTCTTTGGCTGGGTTAAAGGTCTAGTGGAAGGGGATTTCACCCCACAAAGGTTTAGGCGGCCTCTAGCAAGTCCTGGCAGATTCTGTCCTTCGTAGGAATATCTCTCAGGATTAACTACTGGTTTAGAAAAGTGAGTTACACTATTTGAATTGACACATAAGGGGTACAAGTGTCACCTTTGGGCAGGCAAATTGCTTGTCTCCAGTGAGACATGGCTGACCTCTGGTTTCTGAATTGCCAGGAAGCAGGTTTTAACCAACCTTTCCTCTCTCAGCAGGTGAGCGCAAAGGCTGTGATTTCCTGAAGAATCTTGGAAATGGGCCCCACTTTTCAAACTCACTTCCACCTTAAGAAGCTGAAAGACTTTGCCAGGGACCAGAAGCTCTCACTTCACCTAAGAGACAGACACACAGAAACCCCCTTAAGCGGCTGTCCTTGCATGCAGAGCTGGGGGTGGTGGGCAGACTTGTACCTTAGCAGTTCCCTTAGAGGAGATGGCAGAACACCTGGGGAAGGCCAAGTGGGAGGCTGGGTGGGTCTGCCCCAGGCACTGCCAAGTGCTCCTTCCTCCTCTGGATTCAGGGCCACTCCTGCTCACTCCCTGCCCTTCACTTTGTAACTCCATCAAAGATCTGGCCCCTAAGATCCATGTGCATCTTCTCCGCCTCCCCACCCCTTTTGTCCTTAAAAATAATCAGTCCAAACCCATGCTGTGTGGCCTCTCTATGCCAGGGGCGCTTGGAGAGGTCAGGGTGGAGGCAAGGATGGAATGTAGCCAGGAGTTCTAGGGACAGCTGGGCATGGGCTGCAGACCTCAGGCCCTATATTAGCAGGGAGAGAAACTGACAAGGTGAAGGACAGTCTCACACCTGCAGGCTAGTGGACCAAGCCCTGCATAACCAACCTGCTAGGCCAGCTGGGAGATGGTGGGAGGGGTCAGGCTATCTGTCTGGAAGCTGTACTCACTTCTGGGTTCCTTTTTTGGGTTAGAAGTTTATGGAGAGGAGAGGTGATGGGGACCAAGATTTCCCTCTGAAACTGAACCACCTGATATCAGACAGCTTGTGGGATCAGCAGAATGCCAGAGGGGGCATTCTTTCCCTTTGATCAAAAGTGTCAACAAACACTTGCTGCACAGGTCAGCCTATGGGAGCTGACCAGCAGGGAAGGGGCTTTGTCCCTTGTGCAAGCAGTGTCCCTTGGTAGGGGTCAGGGTAACAGATTTAAAGGTGCCTATGCAATGTCAGCTGATTGAGGCTGCCTGAGATTGCACACGGGGTCTAGAGGCCTTGGCTTTAGCCAGTCAGTAAGTGCACAGCTAGTCGCGGGAAGGAGGGACCTGGGGCTGAACCCTAATAGGGAGACTTGGGGAGCTGTCAGGGCAGGAAGGCAGAAGGAAAGGCAGCCAGACTGTGTGCCTAGGAGCTGAATCTTCTTCCAGGAGCCCTGTCTCTAATGCTGGACCCATACTAGCTGAGTCACCTTCCAGGCCATTGTGGATCCTGTTCACCTATGTCTGGGGTGAGGAAGGTCAGCCTCCTTGGTAGGAGAAGGTTTTAAGATGCTTGGAAAGTGGGGAGGGGAAAGGTGGATTCTTCCTGGCCTCTCTTCCACCCCTGAGGAGTGAGATGGGACTTTTTTTTTTGGCCGGGGCTGGGCTTGAACCTGCCACCCCCTGGTATATGGGGCCAGTGCCCTATTCTTTGAGCCACAGGTGCCACCCTGAGAAGGGACTTTTGAGGTTGAATTACAAAAACACAAACCTCTTCTTCAGATGAAGAAGCTGAAGTCAGATGGACGGGCAGGGGACCGGCTCGGTGTGGTGGAGACTGGACCCTGTTTACCACTCAGAGTCTGACGCCCCTTCTCCCTTCCTACCTGCCTATCTCCTCTCCTTCCTCTGGGAGACCCTGATTTCGTTTTGTTCCCAGACAACAGCTGCTCCCACCCCCAGCTTCTCCTGGGACACTCTAGTCGCCCTCACTGACCCGCGGCTTAGGGTCCAGAAAATTAAACTGTGAAAAGATAAACATTATTTCTAGTAGGCTTTGCGGGATTAACGCTTGTAATAAAGAGCATTAGCTGGAGGTTTCTTTCAAGGCGCTCTCAAGCCCACCCGCTTCTGGGGAGCCAGGTAGACCCCTCAGGAGACTGCAGAGATGGCAGAGGCTTCCTTCCTGGGGCCTCCAGCTAGACAATGTGTGGGAGGGAGAGGGGTCCTTAGAATCATACTGAGTCAACACTTGGAATAGGAAACTGGAGACCAGAACGGAGAAGGGATCTAGCTAAACCCAGGCCATCTGGCTGAGCAGGGGCTGCGATGGGGAACAGAGATCTTAGCTACATACCACCTCCAGCTTTTCAGCCCTTGGGAAGGGAGGCCCTCGTGGGTTGCCCTGTCTTACCACCCAGGACCCCAGAAAGTGGTTTCTCCAGCTACATCACTTGGCGGGGAGCCTTGATGCCCTTTACCTCCCTCAGCCCAGACAGGAGCCTAAGATTGTCCCAAAGATCCGAGCCTAGTTGGCTGGAGATAGCGGTTTATGAGAGGGTTGAAAAGGTTGGCCAGGAATCCCAGAAACCCACTTCACCTTCTCAGGTGCACCCCGCCTTTTTGTATGGCTTAAACGTTCTCCTTTCCACTTTGACTATTCAGCTGTCAACTTCCAGGAGGGTCTGGTCCTCCATCCTGGTGCTGGGTGTTTCCTCCAGGGCTAATGGTGAGCTCCAGGCATCCAGGAGAGGGGCCTGAGAATGGCACGTCTGAGCCTGTGATTATCCCAGCCTCAGGCCCCCAGTGGCAATCTGTTCCCACATCTCTGCCCCCACTGAGAGCCTCCTACAAATCTCTCGGTATAATCTCCCAGAATCATATTTTGAATGCAGTTTTGATTAAACACCAGAGCAAGGGGAGGGAGGACGGAGCCCTGCCCTCTCTGTTGGGCCTGCTTTGCCACAGCTGGGCCATGAGCTCAGCTCTACAAAATGAGTGTTGATTAAGTACAGAAAGTTGAGGCTCTCGGGTGTGGAGACTCTGTAGCAGCTGGACCTCCAAACTCCCTCCAGGGTTAATGTGCCCCCTCTCCCTTCTCACACAGCGGGACAGCAATCAGGGGGCTGTGTGCCCTGGAGGAAAAGAGAAATGCCACCCACACCCAGAGGCTGCTTTCTCTACTGATTCCTCTCCTGCCAGGAGTCTCTAATGGGCATTGGACTCACTCGATCTCTGTGACCTAATCTGATGATCCTAGACCTTTTAGCCCTAAGGCTCTGTTAACAATAAGAACTTCTGAAGCTCTTACTATGTGCCAGACCAATACATTACAGTTATGGTAAATAGCTATCATCAACTAGACGGCTTGTCCACAACAGAAAGGATCTCTACCATCAAAATCTGCTCATAGCTAAAGAATCACACTAGGCAGGCTTTAGTATCTGCCTTTTTAACAAGCACTCCCAGGTGATCTGATGGGCCCTGTCCTGCGTACTGGTGGACTCTCAAGTGGTCAGACCCTAAGTTCAGCAAGAAGGCTTAGGACACCTGCTATTGGCCAAGAGTAAATCGCATCCCAGTAACAGGTGCAAACATTTTCTGCAGGATTTAATGTGGATTCACATTCAATCTCCTCATCCGGCTCAGCTCTTTTTCCTCCATCCCAAAGCTCAAAGGCTTATTGTTATTGGAGGGGAACGGGACTAGGAGAAGTAGGAGGCTAACTTACCTCTCCCAGCTGCCTGAAGACAATTTAGGATTCCAGGATTGGAAGCACAGTAGGAGTCCTTGGCATGTGAGAGAATTCTGGCCCTGAACTTGAACATGCAGTCAAGGATCTACGCATCTGAGCAAAGCCACTGGGTGGGAAAGACAATATCTTAAGCCAAGGAAGGAACTGATGGGGGGTGGGGGTGGGGTGGCTGGCTCTGACCCAGTTGCAGCTTTGGTATTAGCAAGCTCCCTCTGTTTTGAACCAAATTTCTTCCCCACAAAACTTTTGAAAATTTCCTCCTAAGCCACGTCACACTCTTCCTCATGACTCATTCTTTCATTCTCCCACCTTCCATGCGTCCTCCCCTATC